TGTTGGTTGGTTCGGGGGAGAATGTAGAAGTAGGAAAATAATTGTACTAATATTCAGGTCAGGTATATATTCTGAGCTGGTAATTACGGGGGAATTTGAATAGCTTTACTAGTAGTTAAACAATTCTCTTGCAGTCTTGTTACGGCGAAATCCTATTTGAGTACTACACGAAATTGCTTTGAAAACAGCACAATTACCAAAGAAGCATATTTTAGGTGAAATTACCATCTTTGGGCTGTCAGCTTTTAACACAGTAATACCAACGACGAGAAGCTTTTATCTGAGGGGTAGGTTTATCTTTGTAGAGGCATTAAATAACAGAGTTCCAAGAATTTTTCGTGCTTTGAACGCACGGCAATATTGAGGCAGAAATGTATTTTTGGCGCTTAAATTAAGGGCGAGAAAGGGAGTTCTGACAGTATGGATTGAAGTTAGATAATACATCGCCCATGCAGAGAAAAATGACTTCAAAAGACGATGCGTCGCTACTTTGTAAAAGAACACAGTTATAATAATATATATAAGGTTATTAATATTCTAAACTAAGCAGTAATATTGCATTTTTCCACAGTAAACTTCAAAATACTTTGTAATGAAGTATGTACCTGGTGTAATGCAACTTCCAGCAGGAATTTCGGAAATCTGAATTGTGGTTAGATCGATTTCTGTCTCGTGCATGTGTCCTTAAAAAGAGTAGCATGACGAAAACCTACCAGTTGCATTAATGACGAAAACATTGTCGATAATATTAAAAAAATGTTTCAAAACTAACTTTTTCCTTTTATTTCATCATGATTAACTGAAATAAGTTGCAAACTAAAATAAAGCGGTGAAACTACAACAAAATTTCTTTCCTTCAGGCAGTCCTTCCTTTAGACAGTCACAGCCGCTATGGTTCTGCCTCGAATTGGTGGTGTTTGACTCAAGAAAGTGATTTATTTAAAAAATATCAACATTTAACGAATTGTTCGTTCGGTTGGTTCATTCGGAATATCATATACGGCTTATAAACCAAATTATGCTCAACGCTGTAGCTTTGACAGAATTGCCTATATGAATATACAATTTTTGCGGATGATATTATGAGTAAAAACGAATTGAATGCTCAAAATAATGTTTGATAATCATTTCAAATTGCATACCCTGCATATTTTTACCTAATGTATCTAATAAACAAGGCTCTAAACAATTTTGAGATTATCGAACTTAGCGGTATATCGGTAGGGTAATTTTTCAAATCGAACTATAGTAGTTCACTCGGGTACTCTGAAGTTCTCTATACAAGATGTTTCACGCAAATCGGCTCTCATTGATAATCCAAATCTGAAAATTTGCATACAAACATAGTTTTTCATTATCTATTGGAAAAAAAATTATCATGATCGTTTCACTTCCGGTTTTAAATAGAACACTCTGTATTTTATTGCATTTTTCAAATTTACATGGAAATCTACGTCGTTTGATACCACATTTCCTTATACCCAGCATCAAAACAGGCTGGAGGACCGCATTGTAGCGACAAGTAAGCTGCCGAAAGGTCGTGCAGTCGTGAGAAGGTGAGGCTACTCTATACAGACTGATACAATCAGACCTTAGAGTAACAGAAGAATGGTGTAGGGAACACACCTTGTTCATCAACCCGACAAAAACGGAGCCAGTTCCCTTCGCAAGAAAAAGAAAGGTAGAGGGTCTGCGAACTCCCAGATTATTCCAAGAACACCTCCAATTTTCAGAATAAGTGAAATTTCTAGGAATAACACTTTGCAAAAAACTGAATTGCAGCAAATATGTCGAGCTCAAAGTCGAAAAAACGAATAGGGCTCTGCCCAATTGAAGACTTTGGGGACCATTCCCGAAGGCTGTTTTGGGAACAGGCCGCTCTGGCATCCCTGCGTCTGAAAAATAAGCGGTTGTTCAATAGCAGAGGTATTGAGGTGGGCCACTCTCGAATTTTGAGGGAGGCAATTACCTAAATGCCTACCCTAGAAGGGCGATCGAAAACTGCCTAAAGAATCCAAAAATGTAAAAACGTGTACAATTTAAATTTTGAACCTTTAAGTGAAATTTCATTCTTCGTTCGGCACGTTGAGGCAAACAGTTACGTGTGTGTTGAAAAAGATTTCCATGATGTGAATTGTAACCGTTTAAACTAGAAGCTTGGCTATTTCTGGCGATTCATCCGTTTTGTAAACATTCACTTTTCAATGATGGAATAAATTCCCTTTAAACAACGCTCTATCGTTCTTCAAGACCTGTACAACTGGCAAAGCGACTGCCTTGTAACCAAATTATGCTCAACTACCACTAACTGTGCGTTACCAAAAGTCACGATTAACGTCCGTCTTTTCTATCTAAAACAAATTCCCCTCATTCCCTTTCTGAATCATTTCCTTTTTATCAGAATTACTGTGTCGTCGAATAACTACCATTTGTGTTTACGGCCACGAAAAAACATCAGCCTATCTGCACTTAATTAGCTTACGCAGCGATAACAACACTTCTTATCGCAATGACCGAATTTACAAGAGATACCTTTAACAAAACATTCATCCAATTAATTCCAGATGTTCCTTAACTTACTAACTGAACAATAAAATAAACAAATTATTGAAATCAATAATACAAATAATACAAACCATTGACCTCAAATTCAACTAATTCAAATTTCAACCAATATTTTACGTTACAAATAAATGAAATTTACATACAGGGTGACCCATCATTATTATAGGTTCTGATACCAAAAAAGTTCGAAATACGTCTTTTCTTACATATTATAACGTATTTTATACTGTTCTTTTTTATGTACATTTTAAGAAAACACTACATGACGGTTAAACTTTGCATCTTTATTCAATTTGGCGTTTTTTACTTTATTAGCTTCTTCAAATGAAACAGTTAAGTAGGTAGTTTCCAAGTCAGGCCACTCCAAAGTTTTTTTTCGGAGGAGCAGTTTCCTTTTATAGATTTCAATGTATTTCTTATGTATACATTTTCCAAAGACAACGCGAATGAGCATATACAAATTCATTTTTATAAGTAAGGTAACAAAATATCTTGTCACTCACTTGTAGCAGCTCTCAAAGTTGTTTTTCCTTTATATTTATTTTACAAATTCTGTAAGATCTGCATTTCTTTCGAAAGATGAACCCAATTTCTCATATATTATTTTTGAGGGATCCGAGATCAAAACCCCCAGGCGTTTCCACTACAGGGAAATATAGGAATATATACAGTATAGTCTAAAATTTTAACCATGCATTATACGTATGAAGCTAATTATTATTGGGTGCCATCTGGCGACGCCAAACAATCAAAGTCAATTTTCTTCAATGTGAAGGACTGACTGAATTCTTAGTACCGAAAGTCACTGAAATGGAGTTCCTATAGGTAAGTCAATTTTAAGATAAGCTTGGACACATTCAAATTTAAGTATTATGTATAACTTCCGCGACACCCAAGCTTAGAACTCAATAAGTTATTAAAAGATTTGTTCAACAACTTTAGTAATAATTTGAAATTGAATTAGCCTAGCCTGCATATATCAACGGAAGTCTTTAAAAGCTAACATGGAGAATCTGTAGGTGAGTTAAAGGATTGCCTGAAAGTGGTTATGAGCAAATTATACATCAAGCAACTGAATCACGTACAGGGAAAGTCGTAATTGCTTCGAAAAGTTACATGAAGCTAGATAAATTGATTACAAAATAGCTCACATGACGCGTGCTCATTTTAACAAAATCATGCCAGTATATACCAATTGGATCGCGTAAGTTATCCTTTTTTTCAGTCATAAACACTCTTTTAATCGGAAGTTGTAATCCTTAAAGTGGCCCTTTTCATTTTTATCGGTCGTAAATAAAGCTTGGAGAAAAAATGAGCTTACAAAAGAAATTAATGGCCAATATCCGAGAATATATAAAATTTGGTGTTTCAGAATGGAATGTGGAAACTTGACATCCATCGGCGTTGCAGTAGATTATAAAGAAAAAAAATTTCATGCAACAAAAGTAATTCTGGTTGTATACATTTCTATTAAGATAGCGGCCCATTACACTTAGACAGAATGAGTTAACGTTTAATTAAGTAAAATGCTGTTATAAGTACAATTAACGATATCACCCACTTAAGCGTTGTAATAAATAAGAATTAAAAAGTTTTATAACGGACTTTATTACGATAAGATTAAGTTAGTTCTCAACCAATACAAATTACCTTTCATTTAGGGGGTGATGATGTTATCTTCAAGTACGTATACGTACTTGTATCATTGACGAAATTCCACGAAAGTTTTTTACAAACAAAGGTCGTCTACTGGGTACAAAATGCGGGTGAGAAGATGTAATTAGGTTTTGAAGTAAATTAATTTACGAACCTTTTATGAATGTAGCTGAAACCTTCCGAAAACTTCACGACAAACTGAAAGACACTCCACACTTCTTTCACGTTGAATCACTTAAGGAAGACTAAGTTTGTAGACAGTACAATTAATGGCTCTTTTCATAAAAGTTTGAGTGATAATGGTATTTTAATGGAGTTGAACTCTGTAACCTGGTGAATTTCGTATTGTTTGTTATCAGGAAGCGCGTAACTTTTGTAGTACGGAAATTAAACACATGTTGAATTGGAATGATATTCATTTTTGCAAGGTTTTCACGATATTGATTTTGTAGTAGGGTTGTATTGATAAATACCAAAGGCGAAGACGTCATAAATGGAAGTGTTGAAAAGTTCATGACTGCTGCATTAAAAAACAGATGTTCAGGCCCCAGATTCTATTTGGAGTAAAATGGAAACTTCTAATGAAACAACTGTATTAAATCAACCGGAAATCAGTCGACCCCGGATTAATCTTGCTCGCCTAGTCTAACAAAAACTTCTGTTTGCAGAGGACTGGTAAAATATGCTCGAATTAGTGTAAACTGTATAAAACGCCCTTTAATCGACTCAAAAATCCTCACGCGTTAATTGCGCATTGAGGCAAATAGCGATCATTATTTGCAGACATCTGTTATGAGCCGGTACACATGGAAATGCACTCATGACAACGTTCGGGAATTCAATGTGCAGCCATTTAATGATTTGCTCCTCGTCGTGTTCCAATTTCATACCGTCCGTATTATCTAAAATAAACCCGCGGTATTATTGTGAAAAACTGGTGCGGAAATATTGCATGAAAATTGTATTTTCTGTACGGATTTCATGCGAGTGGTAATGTAAATCATAAATGTAAAGCAACACGAAAAGCGCATTACCTTTCTAATGTTCGACACGTCAGTACTAAAACCTATAAGACAAATTTTAATACGTTACAATGATTTATCGCAAGATTATATTATCAGTTCTTCAATTGAATTACCTGATGATGTGTAATTGGGACACATAGTAGTGATTTTCTTCTAAATCTGCCAGAAGGTAGACATGCGCAGGAACCTCTAAAAATTTACACATTTATCTGGGAATTGTATATATTTACAGATGTTACTGGGAATTTTAGGTTTCCCGGTAATAATCGAGTCGCGATGACCATTTACTTCACGACTACGATCATCCCTTGCGATCGACAGATGGGTATAAAGCAAATTTAAGTATACATTTCAAATAGTTGAATGTTGACAAGTGGTGAGTTGACTTGGAAAGATTGAATGACATCAAGCAGTAAGCCATTGTGTAAATCGGAAGATGGAGGGTCACATTATTACAATGCCCCTGTAATATTTTTTTAAACGTTTGGTCGTAGTTCTAGGCCAAAACCAAATAAGGAAACACCTCTAGAATCCTAAGGAATTTCTTTCTACAAAGGGTATAGACATTCTGAGAAAAGCCAATTAAGGATTAAAGTGCTGGGAAAGCGCTTAAAAGCCTTCTATTGCCCTCCAGGTATTTTTCAGAGACTCATCAAGACTTTTCTAAACTTTTCAAGAACCTTCTGAATACTATCGACAGAACTCTGTTTGTTCTGTGAAAGATCGTACAAATCTCTGGTATCGCCCCTAGAAAGTTCATAAATAAAAGTAATAATACCTTCAAAAGAACGGGAAGGACCTCTTAAAATGCTCCTTAGGCCTTTTCTAGAGCTATTTAATTTATATTATAAGCCCTGAGTTTATTAGTGCAAAAATATACATTCCATTTGAAAAAACAAACTTTGGGGCTGTGTATCTTAAAAAACAAGCAGGCTATGGAAAATATAAAAATACCCCCTTACTAAGAGACTATTTTTACATAGATTTTATTCTTTTTACTTTATTTATACTCCCACAAATAACTATAAGTTATACTTAAGCAAAAACTTTTGATTACATTTTTGAACTTTTGTACTGTTGCCAGGTTCGCGAAAGTCATACGTCAAAATTGACATCGTCCATCTAGGCAGCTTTGAAAAGTAACTCCTAGTTAACTCCGCATCACTCTAATGCTTTTAGTTCTCAAAATATCCCCGAAAAACATCGAAAACAAGCAATTTCTCTTTCGCGCGTGGATGTGTGAATAAATAATGATTTTCAAACAAGAACTAGGAAAACGTTTACTTTGTTCGCACTCATAGTTGCAATAAATGAATAAATGCCATCAAAACAAGGTCACGCCTTAGTTACGGCACCAAAACTAAGACCTTGCTCCTAAACAAGGTCACTCCTTGGCAGGGCTCCTTAGTTACGCAATCGATAAGTTCCCTTTCATGACTTTTTTGTCAAGGAAATCCCAACGCAAAATTAAGCAGGTAAATGCCGTCACCACGAGCTTGGGTCAAAGGTCACGGCTACGACTACGAGTCAAGGCCAGGATCTCGCTCCAGGAGTCAAGGACATGACCTGGGATAAAATTCTTTAAATTGTTTATTTCTACAACCGTTAGCTTGCGCTGTCACAGTAGCAATCAAGACTAGAATCAAGATAATTATTACGTATAATTATTTTCATTTATATTAATTAGTACAATAAATTGTTTCAAAGTATGTGTAATCATGAAGCAAATATAATTGGTACCTATTTTGCTTTTGTTGAATACAAATAGATAATGTATGCTTGGGTGGGGATCGTGTCTGTGTTCTACTTTGGTCCTTTGTGTGTATAAGTCAGTCTAAAAATCTCTTTTAATGGCCACAAAATTTTACTAGAAAAAAAATTGTAAAGGTTTGTTGTGCTCTGTAAATAGTCTAGTCAACTGATAAAGTTTGATCACAACCTAAAGTACCCTGCGGGGTTTGATTAAATGTTCCGCAATATACCTACTGCTATCAGAGTTATTACTGATACTAGTTAATTAATTAATGTTCATAAAGCTTCTGAAGTTGCTTAAAAAAAGTGAAATAAAGCTCATGCCTTAGAAAAAACCTGAGCCGCTCTAAAATGCACTCTCAAAAAAGGGTTTTTCAAAGCCTTCTAGAGCTTTTTATACCTTTAAGGTATTGCCTGCATTTGACGGTATTTATTGATTAGAAGTATAACTCGTACCGATTTTGATTTTGATTTTGATGGGTTATTTAAAATTGGCGCACAATTTTGCCAAATTTTATTGTTAGAAATCACTCAAATTAAGTTTTGAATGTCCCAATACCGGATTAATTATTTATCACAGAATGCATAACAGGTATTTATATAGGCAAAGCAAAAAAATTTTTGCTGTGGCTAGCACAGATAACACCTGCGCATGCGCGATTCTGTCCTTTAACGTCTAAGAAAATTTGTACCAAAATTGGTTCCAATTGGTTCAGCCGTTTGGCCGGAAGTGAGAATTTGACACACTTGCGCAGGCGCGATTCTGCCCAAAAGCTTTTAAAATCTTTCTTTTATGTCTAAGAATATGTGTGCAAAATTTGGTATCAATAGGTGTAGGTGTTTAGCCGAAAATGAGAGTACAGACGGACCGACAGACCAACATAATCGAGATTTTGTTTGATTAGGATTACCGGTGTTTCAAAACGTGTATTTCCGTAAAAAAAGTGAGGGATCATTATTTACCCCAATGCAGTGCCTCCCTTGCTAACGGACGGATAGTAAAAAACATCCCTCTCGTAAGAATTTTTGTTAAAAACACGCTTGGTTTTGATAGATTTTACAAAATTTGTACCCCTTTTCTTTTGAATTGTATTGAATTGAATTAATACAATTTTCGTTTGAATGGAAGCTCTGAAAATTCGTATAAATCCTATACGCAAATAGGTAGGTTGAAAACCGTGGCCTTTTCCAAAAATGCTTATAGAAGGGCTAATTTTTGACTTAATTACATACCCAGCACGAGATTTATGTACCTATACATGTACGATCTTTTTAAGATGTAATTCTCCGATCTGAGCTAAAATTAGCCCATGTGTTGAGTGATTCAAGATGGCGGCGCCTGCGCTACAAAATCAAGATTTGAAAGGTATTACACTGAAGTAATACAAAAATAACGTGTCCATTTCCTATTTTAAGTCTGCCGTTCGGAAAATAAAACATATCTACGCAACATTTTCGGCCTTTCAGACCATAGTGTCATCAAAGCACACATTTTTTAAATTAACGATATTTGTCTGCGAACAAGATAGGATAATTCATTATATAAGGATCAAGTACTAATTAGTGAAGTCTCATCCTTAGATGCAAGAAAAATACCTGGATAATTTTATGTTTCCGTAAATTTTATGAAAATGCGAAATGAAGGTACAGAAACAGATGTTTAAAGTAATAGGCAATTCTGCGAAACTGAAATGAGTTCACAAAATGTAGGCGTGAATGCAGAGAACCTAGTTCGCGTGAAATATTACACTCATCTTCAACTCCAGCCGACCTTTTACAATATTGTTAAAATTGATGTTTGCCACAGAAGGATGTATTAATTAATAGAGTAGGTCCGGTGTTATTACTTCTGAATAATTAAGGACAAAATTTATCGATACAGAGCGTTTTTGGTTTATAATTTAAAATAAATCGTTAGGGTAATTGAAAGCGTGTTTTGTGAAATGGGATTAAATACGTACGGAATGGTTCTGTAAGTAAATAGGACGAGGATAAAGAGCGCGAAAGATAATCAAATATCAAAACGAATTGAATAGTACGGCCATGTTTGAAAATTTGAAATTTGCTTTGCTTCGTCAAATACCCAAAGCAGTTATGAAATCGTATTCTATTATATTTCCATTAAGAGGATTAACTGGTGATCAGTTTCCCTTTTAGAAGGTTAATTAAAATTGGAATGGTTCTCATTTCGTAATAACCTTATTCAAATGATACATTTGTATGCAAAGATTATGTATGAAGGAATAAATTTCTTCTTTTAATGCGGTTTGGATGCGGAAAAGGGAAACATACGCGTTGTGTGGTCATTACATATACTAATTTGAAACGCATTTTTTTAATACACGGTTTCACTAGTTCACCCTTATCACTTCAGTGAAATACGCCTAATTAAAATTCTCTTTGTTGTATGTTGTATCAATTTACCTGCATCTTGATTAGAAGACTGTTATTTGAACGCTTTCGTATTTACCATAACGTAAACTTCCAAGGAAGCACCGTCCCACATGACTAGTAGTTTTCCTGATACATGACGTGCTTTTCTTTCGAGAAGTAAGCGAAGTTAAAGTAAAAAGTTTAAAAAGGGGACGCGCAGCAGTCGCCTTAACGTATAGTTGTCCTGCAAGAAGTTTTAATCGTGTAAAGAGCGAATTAAAATTGTTAATCGCGGGGTTGGTATCTATTTTTGTCTTAGTACAGATCTGATTGTGTGCATCAATCGTATTTATTGCTGTGCACGGGTGCACGCTAATTATTAGAGGGTTATCCGCATCGTATTTGTAAATATTCAAACCACAATTTCCACATAACGGTGTTTTTCGTGGTGTAAACCAGATAATACAGACAGTTGCGATATGAAAAGCATCAAAATAACCGTGTAAATAAAATCTTAATACGCTCTCTGAAATCCTGCGTATATGTTTATGAACTTTGACAACATCGTTTCAACTTGTGCACTAGTGGAAATTGTTGAAACCGTGGGCTTAAAATTACTTAATCTGAAACAAACTGCTTATCAAATTGTCAACATCTGTCGGGGTTTTTCCATTTCCCGTAAAAAAGAAGCTATACCGATACCAAAAACACTCACCTTGTCCTAGGGAAATTTTCCGCTCTTGTAATTCGGAAAACTGTAAAATATTATAGTGATGTGTAAACATTTTCAATTTACAAATTAGGTTGCCATTTTGTGTATATTTTCATAAGACTTAATCTAGAGTAAGGTTTATTTCTTATTTAATTAGTTGTATTATTTATTGTAGCCAGTTTAGAGTTTAGTTAATGAACCTATTCCTATTTACTCACGAATCCTTATAATACTGAAGACAAGTTAGCTGTGAAAGTGATCACTTAGATGTTACGTTTATGGCTAAAGGGTTTTTTATTTCTTATTATTCATTTATTTTTTAGTTGTTGTGATCAGTTTCAGATCCGAAGAAATTTCTATTAATATTTTGTTTATTCAGATATACAGTTTCTTTTAATTTAATGTAAATTAACGTAATAGTAACGCATGTAAATTTTGAGCGGACAAACAAAATCATCGAAGGGGAAATGGGAAGGAGACAGAATCATAGTGAACGTGCTACGATATTCTCCGATGCAATATTACGCC